TGAGCCTGCAACCTGGGCATGTGCCTGACTGGGAATCGAACCGTGACCTCCTGGTTCATAGGTTGACGCTCCAGCTCTGAGTCATGCCGGCCGGGCAGAGCCTGAGTTATTCTCATCCTTCATCCAGCACATTCCTGCCGAGCACCCGCAAGCACCGCACAGACACTGAGGACATGCACAGGAGCACCCTGCCCTCGTGAGCGACAGCCTAGTGGGGAGGGAGACACTGAATACATGTTTGCAGTAGTGCTTGTGGGTTCTGAAGAGAGCAGAGAGAGAAGTGTCTGACTCTGTCTTCCTGGGGCCCCATTGGGACAGTCTCTGTGGGATTAGGACATAGTTTCTCCGCCTCTGATATGAAATGATCTCCAAGATATACAGTTCAGAAAAAAAAAGGCAAAATGGTGCAGACCAGTGTGGGCAGAATGCTACCATTTGCAGCTGCAAAAAAGAAGGGTCTTACCCTTTGAGGCCGCATGGAGGGGCCTGAAGAGCATGATGCTGAGTGAAGTAAGCCCGTCAGAGAAGGACAAGGGTCACATAATCTCACTCACATGTGGAATCTAAGGAACAAAATGGCTCCAGAGGCGTGGGTGCATGGAGCAGACTCACAGATCTCAGAGGAAAGGGGGAGGGAACAGTGGTCAGAGATTAACGTAAGAACTAATATGCATATTTGCACGGTCTGTGGACACAGACAATAGTGCAGTGAAGGTCGTTGGCGAGGAGGGAACCAGGTGAAAAGGGCAATGGGGGCATCGCAATACTCTCAACAATAAAGATTTTAAAATTTTAACATTAAAAGGGAAAGCATGTATACGTCTGCTTGCACGTGTGTGAGCTGTCTCCAAAAGGAAAACTTCTTAGAAGCTGCTCACAGTGACTGAATGCATTGTTTATTTAACAACAATGAGATTGTTGGGCTTGGCAGCAGGGAGGGAGGAGAAGAGAGATTCCTGATAACACATCTTGCCCGGCTGACCCGTGCTGTGCCTGCATAGCACTAAGGAGGCTTGCTGTGCAAAGGCAGCAAACGCAAGGAGCAGAACCAGCACTGGCCCATTAGGAAGAGAGCGTGCGCTGCCTCCTGCTGGACTGGGTGTTACCAATGGGGGTCAGAGGAGGAGTTTCAAATGCAGCTCCCTGAGCAGAACTTTCTTTCAAATCTTTAAAAAGCATCATCAGAGCTCCCCTGTCAGCATGAGGAGAATGGGGGCAGGGTATGAAGACCTCTGTTCACTGAAGAGGAAAACAGCATCTAGAGCAGTGGTTCCCAGCCTTCTTTTGGCCATGCCCCACCTGAGCATCTCCAAAACCTGATGCCCCTGTGACATAGAATTCTCATCATTCAAAAAGTGGACTATTCATGTGGAGGAAGCCTAAATGGCCATGAACTTGGTCTAAACAAGCTTCCAAAGAACATGGCATCCATGAAAGAGAAAAATAAAAGAATGAAAGGACAGGTGAAGTAGTGAGGAAGAAATCACTAAGAAATTGTTTTTAAAAATCCTATCTAATAAAAGGGTAATATGCAAATTAACCGTCACTCCATCCCAAAGATGGTGACTAGCCACAAGATAGCGGTGCCCAGTCCTCTCAGCCCCGCTGGAGTCCCCCAGTCCCGGGGGGGCAGCCGCTGAGAACGGGCAGCGTGAGCAGCCTGGCAGAATGCTTGCTTTGCCACCAAAGCGATGAGGCAAGTGTTCCACCAGCTGCAGATGGGCCTCTGGGCCACGGAGAGCCTCTGGGCAGCAGGTGCGGAGTGGCCAGGCCCCACAGAGAGCTACTGGCGCATGGATTCGTGCGCAGGGCTACTAGTAATAATAGTAATATGAAGTGATAGGAAAAAATAGCAAATAAAGTTTCAAAACATATAATAGAGAACTGAAATGCATAAATATGTCACAATATACATTTATATACTGTACTAGAGGCCTGGTGCACAAAAATTTGTGCACTCGGGGGGGTCCCTCAGCCCAGCCTGTGCCCTCTCGCAGTCTGGGACTCCTTGGAGGATGTCCACCTGCTGGCTTAGGCCCGCTCCCTGGGGGATCGGGCCCAAGCTGTCAGTCAGACATCCCTCTGGCAGCCCGGCAGCCCTCGGGGGATGTCCACTTACCAGCAGGGAGCAGACCTAAGCTGCAGTCAGACATCCTTAGTGCTGCTGAGGCGGCGGGAGAGGCTCCCGCCACCACCGCTGTGCTGGCAGCCATCAGCTTGGCTTGTGGCTGAGCAGAGCTCCCCCTGTGGGAGCGCACTGACCACCAGGGGGCAGCTCCTGCATTGAGTGTCTGCCCCCTGGTGGTCAGTGTGTGTCATAGTAACCAGTCATTCCCAGTCATTCTGCTGTTAGGGTCAATTTGCATATTACCCTTTTATTATATAGAATAGAGGCCTGGTGCACGGGTGGGGGCCGACTGGGTTGCCCTGAAAGGTGTCCTGGATCAGGGTGGGGGACCACTGGGGTGCCTGGCCAGCCTGGGTGAGGGGCTGAAAGGTGTCGGCAGGCGGTCAAACACCCCTGTGGAGTACCCTCACCCCGT